ATATTATCACAAGAAATGCCACACCAATTATGACAAGGATTAGTACTATTGCTAGTAATTAACCAAGAGGAAAGGAGTGTTTGGCTTGTATTTTCAAGACTTGTTTTCCATTGTAAAAGAGAAAATGCTTCAAGTGAAATTGAATGTCTTTCAGAAGCATTTAGATAAGATTTAGCAAGAACATGTTCATCAAAACAAAAAGTTATAAAGATCAAAAAATGAGTAATGAAAATTGTGTTGGATAATGAGGATCTCATTTTTTTTTTCTTGAAAAAAAACAAATATCAAAAGGCCTAATTTTTTTTATTTTCTTTTCTAGCTTTGTGGGAATGCTGGACAGTGGACATAATGATTTATGGACTGGTATTTATAAAAGAAAAAAAAAAAACTCATGTTTCCAAGTGTGGAAACCAAGCCAATATTAACAGCTCTTGTTTAGTACTACTAGTATTCTATATTTGCTTTTCATTTGGAGTAATTTAAATATAAATAACTTATTTCTTAATAGTTATCGCTAGAATATAGAATATGTAACTTATTTCTTAATAGCTATTGCTAGATTTGGATTTCTTCTTTAATTTAATCCTCATGGAAAGTAAATTATAGAAAAAAAAGCTTCAAGTCAACTTAAATTTTTTTTTAATCAGTAGAGTTGAAAAAGTGAAGTTCTTTTAGCCATATAGTAGCATGTAAAAGCTTAATTAATAAAAGAAAAAAGTGGTGTTACTTTTTCCTCCAACAGTTTAATTTTTGCCGACCTCGTGGTTTATGCAGCACAACAACTAAGACTAACATAACATATACTTTATTTTCTTGGAGGTGATAATGTAAAATAATTTTGAGTAGCAAAAAAACATTTTAACTAGGAAGAAATTGAATAAAGCTAAAGAAAAAAACAAAATGTATAATAGCTTATCTCTTATCACTACTTCACGAGGCATTTTAATAACAAAAAATGATATTGCTAGAAATTAATATAAATGATAGGCTCATTAAATTAAATTTCCTAACTATATATTTTCAATTTGTAAATCGACATACAAAGATAGATCAAATCCATAAGGAGAAGTAGGGGTGTCAAAATCAACTCACTGGAAAAAAAATACATGACTCGCTTAACCTGTTCATTTATTAGCTTAGATCATTTTGATCTTTTGCACGATCACAAGTCATATCTTACCCTAAGAGAATGAGAGGAGTATTGGGCTTGAGTTTCTGTTAGATTTTGAAGAACACAAGCATGGACACATTGCAAAAACAACAAGTGAATTGTCCTAAACATTCAAACATAAGCAACTGATGCTCGAACAGTATCATTTGATTTAGTACCCTGAGCACGACCTCTACCTCGTCCCTGTACTTGTCCTTGTCCTTGGCCTTGGCCCCGACCTGCAAGAGATCCGATCTCATGTCAAAAGATAAGACGTTGGTGTCATATATATAGCAGAACCAATATGTTTTACACGAAAAGTTAGTAGTATACTATGTATCTTAGATGAAAAAGGATTGTAGCATACCCTGGCCTTGAATGGGCATTGAACCAGCTACTCCACCATAGTTGTTACCACGTCCACGATTACCACGGCCTCTTCCTCCAGTTCGGCCTCTACCATTATATCCACGTCCTCCTTTCCATCCGCCCTCTCCACCATTTCCAGGCACACCATCATTAAAACGCCCTGTACACAGTAAACCAAGATGTGTTGGAAAAGAAGCAGACAAAAAAAGGAAGTCGATGCATTAAGCTCCCACTATGTGCATAGTCCAGGGAAAGGTGAGACCACAAGGGTCTATTGTACGCAGCCTTACCCTGCATTTTTTCAAGAGGCTATTTTCACAGCTCAAACGTAACCTGTGACCTCATATCACAAGGCAACAACTGTACGAGTTACTCTAAGGCGCTCCCAGGAAGAGGAGGAAATTCATAACATAATCACAAAATAAGTGGCTACATATAGATAGAAAAAAATAGCCAAAATAAACATTATGTTCAAGCCTCACGAGTCACGAGTCACCACCTTCTTCATGAGAAAATTCAAGAACTTTAAAACGACAACGAAAAGAGAATCATGGCCAATGTATGGTGTACCTCCTCCATAATCATATTCGGTCAGTGGTCTGACTTGATCTGCTGGAATAGGTGGCTGATACCTGCAGATTTCAACTGCTTATGAGAAAATTTATGTGTCTTGAAACCAAAACCTGAAAGAAAGGGGCATAACAAGAAATGCGAGCACAAAGACATAGTTACACCATCTGCAACTTCATGGTATATCCATAGTTGCTACACATACCAACCGGGATGTTGAGAAATGGATTTAGATCATATACACCAAACAAAAAAATGCAAAGCATTTTCACATCGACGTATTTTAAGCTTTTGTAGTATGTGATTTGCCTTTTTTGGATAATCAGATATATAGTGTAAAATTAGTATATCCCAAATGTTAAAAAAGAAACAGTAATAGTATCTTACACAGATTAGTCAATATTATTAACACATACTAGTTCTTATCCAAAGAACGATTAGAAGTACCGTTAGAGGTATTGATTTGAACTATTAAACCAGATGGCCAACTCTGATATTAATCATCATAAGTAATAATGCCAATTTTACCATAGTCCAGATTCTACTAGTATGGTATTGAGGCATAGTTGATTGACTGATACATCGCACATTTACTAATGACCAATTGAAGAAAAGGAAGAGCACGAAATGCAGCGTTGATATACTATAATCATGATTACTAACCCGGCTGATGAGGTATCTAACTCCTCCTTTGAAAGGATAATTGTTATGACTGACACATGACGAGTAGTCTCGAGCCTGAATTTGTTAATAAATAAAGAAAGTTATTGAGCAAACATCCCAGACCAGAAAAAAGAAATACTTGATGGACTAAATTTAGCTGCATCTTACGGAAGAAGTCCTTCTTCTAAAGGTTCCCACGTATCAGTGATATCAGTTGAACCAATCGATGTGATCTGATGAAGGCCAACGATCTTCCTCTGATGCATAAAGATTACATAGTTACATGCTTTATCGTGTTATTGGAAACAGAAACTAGATACTACATTTTATTGAAAAACATATTTTTCAAAGAAAATTTAGTAAGTGGACATAAATCACATAGACATGCTACAATTAATCTGCTGCACACACCTTTATTAGTTCTGCTATCATTACTGTTTTGCTAATTGCTCTACCCATAGACTTAAGAGCAATTTCTTTAGATCCTTTCTCCTGCAAAACAACAAAATTGTCAAGACGCTAAACTCGCAGAAACATGAAAGCTTAAATCCATCACTTCCTATCGACTCAATGGGATCGAATATATGAGTTTACTCACAAACAGAGGGCATATAGCAAGCAAATTGTTGCATTGTAGTGTTACTCAAACTAAGGTGCAATATCATCAGTATTAAGATCCATTGATATTAATCTGATTCAGTTGGAATGCTTATTATTTCACAATTACACAAACAAACTACTCCTTTCGTCCCAATTTTGTGTCCTACTATACTTTTTAAGTCTGTCCCCAAAGAAAATGTCAATATCCCTTATTTAGTCTACATACGCCAGTGCCGGAACCAGAAATTTTAATGAGAGGGTTCAAAATCTAAGAAGTAAAAGGAGGGGATTCGACATCTATTATACATACCTAAAAAGTAATTTTAACCATGCATAAATAGGGAGTTCGGATGACCCCGGCCCCCCCGATTATATGTTGCCTCCGCCCCTGGCATACGCACTACCCTCCCAAACCCATGTGTGAAATTACAGTGAGTATGTTGTTGTTGAAAACTGTATAACTTCTTATGTCACTCTTTAACTAGATTATTCATAGCCATACAAATCTTTATGACTTCTGATTTACGTCACTTGTTTATAAAGGATTTCGTTCTTTCTTAAATTTCGTACATGATCAAATATAAACTGAGACATATTGAGTATCAAACACATAACACAATCATGGCTAGGGCACTTCTAACAAGCAAAACAATTTATTGTAGAAATTTTTACGATTAAACATGCAAACTAGAAATCATGTGGTGTAAAACTTTTACAAAAATACGCAAATTAGTAGAATGAAAAAAAGATAAACGAGGGACCTGAAGAAGAAGATTAGTAGCATAAGTAATGTAATTCCTTAATCTTCCTTGGGTTGTTATTCTAATCTCATTCTCCTTAATAGGATTATCAATTATTGGCTTCTGCACTTTCTCATACCTATCCATAACTTTTTTAAAAACAATTTTTTTCCTTCTATCAATTCCCAAATAATGAAATTTTTTTTAGCACTTGTAATTAAAAATCAAATGTTACAGTAATGTTAGTTCTTTTGATAGTGTTAACTCTTTTACTTTTTTTTTCTTTTGGTCAAAACAGTATCCAAAAAATTACGGTTAATTTGTGGCTAATATAACCGCCTTAATTTTCTGATCTCAGTTTATGACTCTTGATTCATGAAATAACCACGTGTTTAAGATTCTTAATTGTAACCCTAAAAGGATAAAGCTACAAATCTTATTTACGATAAGTATACAAAATACCCTTAAATTGTATATATAAATTATTAATTTCATCTTTAAATTATAGGTGATTTTAAACATTAATGTTTATTTTAAATTAGGTCAACTCGTTGATTAAATTGGAATCAGTGGAAGCACATGGACTTTACTCTTTCAAATTTACTGCAATGAGATGCAACAATTTCTTTATTATTGCCAACACATATAACAACAAATAAAATATTAAGTATTTATTGTAGTGACATTATTTCCAAGTCATAATAATGTTATATTCATTAATTATAAAAATTATAGTGCAAGTCTCTTCGAATTTTTGATTATTTTCATTATCTTAGATGACAAGTCAACCTAGGCAAGGCTTAAAAAATAAAGCAAGTTGCTAGTAATTATTAAAAAATAAAGCAAGTTGCTAGTAATTATTAAAAAATAAAAGAAATAATCAATCAAAGAGGTCTATAAATTATGACTTTTGAGAAGCAATGCAATATATTCAGTACACCATAATTAATTAACTTCATAAATTAAAGCTTCTCCAAGTAATGGCATCATTTAAATTTGGTTTGATCTTCACTGCACTTCTTCTCGTCATGGCAACCACTAGTTAGTTCTTCAATCTCTCTCTATAATAATAGGTTGTAGTCTTACATTATATATTATATATGATTCTCATCAACATGTATGTATATATATATATATATATCATATGATTGTGTAGAAACTTTTGTACATATCAGTATGTACGTACATGTTTAATTTCTTTGTATATGCATGTGGATCGAACGTGTTTTTACTTTAATTTTCATGTTATATATATATATATATATATATATATATATATATATATATATGATGTTGATCTTGTAATTCTGATTATGGACTTGTTTCAGTGGATGTGATGTGGTTCTCGAAGACCAAAGTTATGGCTGCAAGAAATGTCGATCTTCATGTATTATCAAGGAGACTACTTCCACAACTTAACGATATAATTACATGTGGGACTCTGTGTGGTCCTCATAGTCCTACTGATTACGATTGCAGTGATTGTTGGTATTGTTGTGACTGCAGACAAGAAGCTTGGGATCTTAACATTTTTCGTTGTGGGTACCCAGAGTAGCAAGACAAGAACCTTTGTTTTTCTCCTACAATAACAAATGAATACTACTACTTTTCTTTTCAATTTACTTGTCAAGAATAACAAACTCAAACTTCTAACACTTTGGTTAGGTGGGTTGTCGTGTATTCTTTTCTAGTGTATCGTATTGTATTGTATAGTTTAGTGTTATGTTGTATCGTATTGTATTTTTTTAATGAATATTTTTTCTGTCCCACAATAGTTATTCAGTGTCCATTATATTATTTTGGGATATCCAATACATTTTTTAAAATTAAAAAATAATTTACCAATTTTGTTTATTTTATCATTGTTATTTAATATATTATTTGTCATCTAACACATTTCTCAAGCATTAAATTTAATAAAGTTAAAGAATAATATAGTAATATTACCTTTATTATTTTTTATTTGTTAAAGGATGTGCCAAGTTAATAGTAGTCAATCTTGTTGGACAGAGAGAGTACAATATTTGTACGCACATTTTCGCATATAGTTACTCAAAAATAACTTAATTATGTTTCATATATATATATATATATATATATATATATATATATATATATATTGCTAATTACGATTTGTAGCTACATGTTATAGGATAGAGAGAGGCGAGCAAGATTAGGAGATGGGAGAGAGAGGGCATAGAATGGAGAGAGACGAATTGTGTATATATATATATATGTCGAATAGTATATGTATATTTGTCAAATAATAGTATTTATGTAACTGGTATACATACGTATTTGTATATCTGGTTGGCAAGATTGAGAGAGGGAGAAGAGAGACAAGCGAAAAAGGGCAGAAAATGGAGAGTGACAAATTGTATATATATATTCGTCAGGTAATTATATATATAACTAATATATATATGTATTTGGAATGAGATTATGAAAGGAAAAAAAGAGGCGAACAAAATTGGATGAGATAGAGAAGAGAGGCGAGTGAAGGGCAGAAAGTGAAGAGAGAATAATTGATTTTTTATATATATATATATATATGCGAATAGCCACACTCTATATTTATAGCCACCATTTCAATGAGTGCATTTTCTTTTCCATGCGCAAAATTTGCACCTGTAAAACAACAATCTCCTCTTGTGTAATACTAATATTAGAAAATTAGACGGTTAAGTAAATTTATATTTTTTTTGTTTTATTTTATGTGGCATTATTTGATTCGGAGTAGAGTTTAAAAAATAAATTAAAACTTTGAATTGTTTACCAAATTATTCTTCATAAGTAGATTCATTTTCTCTCTCCTCATAAATGTATTAGAATACCTAAGTGGGACCAACAAGGATAAAAGAGAAATTGTACCTTTAAATACTTACCATATGACGAAATGTGACATTATTTTTGGGACTGACCAAAAAGGAAATGATGCCACATAAAATGGGACGGAGGAAGTACTATTTAATTAGTTAATATAGTTGTAGTTTGCTATAATTACCACTCGCAACTAATATTTATTATTAATTATGTGGGTTGACTTCGAGTTTGGATAATTAATCATGTTTGTATAATTCGTCACGTTTGTATAAATCGCAACTAACAATTCTTCATTTGATTTGTATTTGTATATGACAATGATTTCCTTTGGTTTTTCAGTTTTATCACCATATTCGTTCAATCTTTTTTTGTATAACTTTTAAAAGTTTGTATAAACGTGTACTTTTTAATTTTTGTATAATATAATTTGTATAACTGTTTAAAGTTCCTATATTTATATTTGTATCAATTTGTTATTTCGAATATTATCATATTTGTATAATTTCAAATTTTGTATTACTCAATTATATAAAAATATGTGAATTATACAATCGAGATGCGAATTATATCCTTTTTTGTCCTTTCTCACTCGTCTCTCTCCTCTTTTTCAATCTCGCTCGCCTCTCTCTTCTCTTAGTTCTACTAGGCATACCAATCCAAACTGATAAAGTTAGGGCAACACATCATTTATTGATTCAATATATGTGTATATATTTTAGATGAAATATCGAAAATAAGATCCAAAGTGTGTTTAGATTTTTTTTTTTAAGTGACCTCTATTTCGTTGGTAAGAATTTTTTTTAGATAAATAGAATGGGAAGATGAAGTTTGTTGAATGATGTGAAAGACACAGCTTAGCAAGTAGATCTTACTGTTCCTACTTTCGTAACTACAAGGATAAATAAATATATATTAGTTAATTAGCCATCATAATTATGGATTTAGCTAGTAACCACTCGAGATCAATATTTGATGATAATTATGTGGCTGAAGTGTTGGGTTTGTATGATTTTGAAATCTGTAATGTAATTTCGCATAGCTTTTGTATAATATTGTAATTTTGGATAATTGTTTAAAGTTCAGATGTTTATGTTTGTATGAATTCGTTATTTCGAGTCTATATAAAAATAATTCAATCGTACAGACATACTCATCATATGCAAACTTTTCCGTAACTTATATAAACCCATAAATTATACAACGAAGCAGCTTAAACAATAGCTATAGCTCAAAAATATACAAAATATATCTATAGAACATGGTTAAATTTAGTATAATGAGTATTTTTTTTTTATAATGAAAAAATTAAAATTATATGGTGTCGATCGAAAGGGAAAATCCAAAGAGCTGTGAAGAAGTTGTAGAGAGAGAGCTACTTTGATGGAAGTACACGTAATCCGAATATGCTCTGCATTTCCATTCGCTTCCATAGCCAAACTCAGCCTTCATCCCTCCAAATCCAACTTCGCCATTTCTCTTTCTTCTCTAAATTTTTCTGATGGTTCCAGATTATCATTCAAAGTGGAATCCCAGAAGAGGAACGACGTCGTTTTTGACGAGGCCGCATACGAGGCCGAACGTCACAGACTCGACGCTGAAGCTCGAAAATCTATGGCTGAAACCTCTGAAATAGAGACCCAAAACCAACAAGACCCGAAAGCTTGGAAATGGGTCATTAGAAAACGGGTTTGGGACTTGATGGAAGCCAAAAATATAGCCCAATTTCCAAGACCCGTTCATCATCGGATACCCAATTTTGTTGGAGCTTCACTTGCTGCTGATAAGGTTTCAAAGATAGCATCTTTTTTATCTCTTTATTAAAATAAAGAAAATGGGGCTCATGTTTAGCTAAATTTTTTTTCTGTTTTTCTGTTTTTTTTTTTTGGTTATTGTCATTGGCAGTTGAGTGAATTGGAGGAATTTAAAGTGGCCAAATGTGTGAAGGTGAATCCAGATACACCACAAAAACAAGTGAGATTTCTCACACTTAATGGTTAGTTTTTCATGAACTTATTTTGTTTTAAGTTTGAAGTTTGTAGGGCAAGACTTCTGTGTAGTAATTATTTTTTGAAAATAGGAGACATTTTTTTTTATGAAAGTAGTCCAATAAAAAAGGAAAGTGAGACGAAGAAATTGTAACAAAGTCAGTATGAAATATGAGGTGGATAAGTGAAAGTTCTTACTGTTTGAAATGATAGTATAAAGTTTCCTCTTTGTCCTATAATGTGACATTGAATTACTCATTTGTTGACCCTATTCTTTTGCAGGAGGGAAGCAGCTATTGACACCACAGCCTCGTCTAAGGACAGGTTTTTTCTCTGTACTTGAAGAGAGTATGTTATCTGCTGGTACCATTAAGGAGGCCTGCACTTCTGCTGGAGTTGCCAAATATGGAAGACCAATTGGATTGGAGGAGAAAATAAAGGTGGACTTTATCGTTCTTGGCTCAGTTGCTGTTAATCCAATGACGGGTGCTAGACTCGGCAAGGGAGAAGTAAGCATTTGTGCCAATCTTTGCCTCTCTAATTTTTTATACTGCAAGAAGTAAGCTCTGGAAATGGGTTGTGTGTGATCAAAAGAAGTGAGTGTAAACGCCTTCCAAGTAGGCATGGAACAGACACATTTAAGAAAAAATGGTTGTCGTAAGAGAACATGAATAGACTGTTCATTTTATATGATGCAGCTTATTTTTGTCCATTTTTGTGTTATCTGGGTACTTTTCACTCATAGTATAATGTCTGATCTTGACGCTTCATGCTGTGGTTCTGCTTATATATTCTAGAGACTGGTTGTGTTGAATAATACTATCTTTAAGGTTCTATACTATGCGCCACTATAACAATTGGACGCACAGGAAGGCTCATATTACTATTGTTAATAATCTTCCGAAAGAAGCATTATCCAAGTGGTGCTACAGAAAATTTTACTAGTTTCAAATTTTAGGATCTTGATTTCATCAACCCTTGCTATATTTCTTCTTTTTTTCCCCAGTAGTTATGGCGGACAAACTTATTTTGTTGATTTACATGTTTGCTTCTATTGTATGCGAGAATGTTTTAAGTTTTCCTTTTTAATCTGGCTGGGGATGGCTTCAAAAGTTGAAGTTCAGTTAATTGTGTTAGGACTGGATTGATGGATTTTGTGTACATTATCATAAATCATATTAAAAGTTTCAATCTGTTTAAGAAAAGAAAGTATGATTACCTTGATTCATCCTTTACTTGTTCCATGATTAAGTTACTTGGTATGCCGAGCGCCAAGCGCCAAGTTTTATTTGGAAATTTATCTTGATTACACAGTTCATTGTGTCTAGGGATTTGCTGAACTTGAATATGGCATGCTGAGATACATGGGGGCCATAGATGACTCAACACCAGTTGTCACATCTGGTACGTCCCTTTAAAAAGTCATCCTTCTTCATCAAAGTTTAACCTTTCACTCTTAAAATGTAAATCTCGCTTGTTGGTTGATTCAGACCAATTCTTTTCCCTGTTACTGTGGACAGAAAAGGAACTAATTTTGCTAGTCAAAACTATGGAATGATTGTTTCAATAATTCTCACATTAGCTAAATTGATCTTCATTCTCTATGGATGGCTTCCTCAGTGCATGACGAGCAGCTGGTAGATGACATTCCTATTGACAAACTATTGATCCATGATGTGCCGGTTGACATCATATGCACTCCAACTCGCGTCATATTTACAAACACATCCATCCCAAAGCCTCAAGGTTAGTGTATTCCATATGTATAATCACACCATCATCAGTACCTAAAGTCTCTTCTTGTATGTGTGTGTCCTTGTCCGTTCTTTCTTCTGTTTTTGTTTCTCGTCTTTGCAACTTTTCACTTTAAACTTGATCAGATTGTAACTTGAAACTAAGAGACTGACAGGATCCATCAGAGTAGATCCTTCCCAGTTGGCTAACCTTTGTTATGATTGATCCGTTGCAGGGATATACTGG